ATAAAGAGGAGCCTTCAGCATTCAGTCTCGCCGACCCCCACAGCCCTCTGACATGAATGTCTGTTAAAGCACAACCCGATACATGCTGTCAATCAGTCCAGATGTCCTCAGCCGCAGTTCTGCTGGGAAAGAAATAGAAAAATGTTTTACTGAAATCCGTCTGCTGCTTGGGCGCCAACATCAGTCCTTCTGGCAGATGAGCAAACAGCACATGGTGCTGACTCGTTTCTGGGTTTTAAAGGCATAAAAACATAAATAATGGCATGCAGAGTTTTTTAAATTCAGAAGCCTGCAGTCACACAAAATAAAGCACTTCCCCACCTGAATTACAAGATGTGCTACATTTGTGTTGCACGGTTATCTTTGACACAGCAATGATAAACAGATCGTTAAGCAAAAGTTATACCTTTTAAATCATAAATACACTGTCAGCCAGCTCCATGTGGATGTGTGTGTGTGTACTTTATACATCATAGTGAGGACCAATGACAAGCGTTTCACCTGTAAACTGAGGACATCAGTACCAAAGTGAGGACATTTTGCTGGTCTTCGTTTTGGTACAATGTTACAGAGCTCTACTGGTTAGTTTTAGAGGTGTGGATTAAGTTTTAGTTAATGTTAGGGTTAGGATGAGACTGGTTATGGTTGAAGTTAGGATCATGGCTAGGCACAATCCAGTCACTAAAACAAATGAAAGTCAATGATGGTCCTCACAATCAATGCAAGATGATAAATGGTGTGTGTGTGTGTGTATGTGTGTTTGTGTGTGTGTGTGTGTGTGTGTGTGTGTGTGTGTGTGTGTGTTTTCAGCACATAGTTGCAGCTTTTCAGCTGAACTAGATTAAAGCTGCACCTGCAGTGAAACCTGATCTCCCACCAGGACTCCTTGTTGCAAACACACAATATTTATTTAAGTAGCATCCTTTAAAGGCTCAGACAAAACACACGTAACTGCTTTAAAATGTTCTTATTGAATTAAATATTGATTATTCCAAAGCATTTGAGAGTTATGACCTGGGGAACTGGGTCAATGTTCTGGGTCAGAGAGAAAATAAACCGTAAGAGCTACTTCAAGCACCTGTTCGGACCTCTGGAACTGAAGCTGCTTGGAAACTTTGGATCAGAACAAAAAGCAGCTGATTCTTGTCCTCATTTGCCCAGAGGCCAAGAAGAATCAGGGTCTGATCCAGTTCCGTTTCCTGCTGCATGAAATGATTCCAGCCTGAACTCTGTCTCAGTAATCCCAGAGGAGTTTCTCCCCACACAGATCTAAACTGTCCAGCTTCATCAGAACCTACGATGATCCAGCAGGAATCAGACGCAGACAACCACATCTTCACAGTCTTCTCTTAAAATGATTCCAAACATGATTTACATTAAATAAACTCCATGAAGAGATTTTTACAGGAAAATGCAAAATATTTAAAACATATTTGATACAAAGTCCTGCAGACACTCATCCTGAAAGAGAAAAGGAACATGTGATGACGTGTAAAGTGTTCTGGATCAGAGACAAACTCAGGTTTCTTGTTTCTTCACTAGTTGACTCGTTTACAATAACAGCTGATTCGTTTGTTTGTTTCATTAAAACTTTTGGGTATTCTGTGTTTCATCTGTAAAAGGACAGAACAAGTCAAATGTGAAAACAGAGCTGGAGTACAGATACATTTCTAGCATTTATTCATAAATAATGCAGTTGTTTTAAACCAATGTTGTCTTTTTCAGGTTCTGACTGGTGCTTCACTTCTTTCCGTCTTTAAACTTTCAGACAACCAGTGACCTGATGCAGGAAAAAGAACTGAAACTGTGTACAGGTTTTAATCTTTGTCATACACTGGCTGTAGGGTGACTGTTCTCGATACTGCCATGGTAACAGTGTCTCTGCTCCTATTGGCCAGTCACAGAGGTCTGACACAAGGCTCTGGAAGTCAAAATGTTTTGTTTTCTGATTTTTGTCAGATTTTTATGGCGTGCAGAAGCTGCAGACCATGCTCTCACACTCATGTACCAGACTGAATGTCAGCCAAAGGCCAAAGAAAAACTCTTGATGACCTTTGACCCAGACCACTTCAAAAATTACAGGAAAGAAAATCAGATAGAAACTAAAACATGTCTTCTGTTGGTATGAGTAGATAAAAGTTGGAACAAAGAAACATGAGTGTGTTTGGAAATCAGAACCAGAGATTCTCTGTAGGGAAGCAAGAGTTAAGGTTCTGGTGCTGAAGGGACAGGAGGTGATGGGGGGGCGGGGGGGCGGGTCTTCTCCCTCCTCCTTCTGTTGATGACCATATTCCTTCATTCTTTCCTGCAGTGTGGACGATGCTGAGCAAGTAGCAGCAAGCAGAGGAAAGCTGAAGCTTCAGGAGTCTGCAGACAGATATATGACTCAAAGAGGAAGAGGAATGGAGCTGTGAGCCCCGCTGCAGTAAGAGCTTTGATTTTCCTTTTCCTGAACACAAAACTGCACTTCAAATAACCTGCTGAGACTCTCACAGTAAAGATGCTCATGAGACATTCCTCAGAGGACCTTGTTCTTATGGTGACTGGATTTAATGAATCTGCTGTTCTTTGTGTGGCAAAAATGTGACACTGTCAATAGATAGATAGATAGATCAGACAGAAGTTCAGCATTTGTTTATGTTCATTTATTTGGCGGAGGCTTTTATCCAAAGCGAATTACAATTTATAACCTATGGGGCTTGTTGTGATCTGTGGGGGAAACCGGAGTAACCGGAGGAAACCCACGCATGCATGGGGAGAACACGCAACTCCACGCAGAAAGGCTGCAGCCGAGTTTCAAACCTGCGACCGTCGTGCTGCGAGGCAACAGTGCTAACCACTGCGCCACCATGCAGCCAATGTTTATCTTCTACGTGAAGACCAGCTGTTGTAGTGGCATGGAAAACAGTTTAAACATTTTCTAAATCAATTTCTAATTGAAGCAATCTGAATTAACCTGTGTGTGTGTGTGTGTGTGTGTGTGTGTGTGTGTGTGTGTGTGTGTGTGTGTGTGTGTGTCCAGCATTTATGATTTATTTTCACAACAACCACAGTTTTTTTCTTTTTAATTAATAAAAAAAACATTTAATTATTATCCGTCCGATTCTTTACCTGCTTTTCCATGCAGGGTTGTGGGGGCTGGGCAACACAGAGACACACAACCATGCACACACACTCACACCTAAGGACAATTTACAGAAACCAATCAACCTGTGGGAGGAAGCCCAAGTACTTGGAGAGAACCCATGCATGCACAGGGAGAACATGCAATCTTCATGCAGAAAGACCCCAGGCTGGGCTGTGAACCCAGGACCTTCTTGCTGCAAGGCAACAGCGCTAACCACTGCACCACTGTGGAGCCCTGATAATAACAACAACAACATCAAAGTATCTTCAGCTGCTATTGCCAAAACCAAATCTGCTTTACAATTTTTTTTTTTTACATTTGGGATAGATTAATGTCCATTTTTGGGATTTTGAGAGGTTGAGGACCAAGGAACTTTAAGACAGAGAGGAAATTATCTCTGTCTGGCCCCAAAACAATTTCTAATCAAAATATGGTGCCCTTGGGCCTGCAAGGCTCCAACGAAAACTCCCCCCTCAGAAGATATGTGGAATGTGCCGTCGCTATGGCAACTCAACTCTGTCTCCTAGCCCAACCTGGGTGGGACTGCGGCAAGGCCGCCGAATCGTTCCAGGGTCACCGCATTCCTCCAACTCTCAATGCTCCTCCCCCTGTTCAGAGGTGACATGCGCTGCTTGTAGTGGCTGCAGGAACCGAAGTGTAGATGGTCCCAAACCGCCACCCCCCACCCCCACCCCCAGTGGACACTTATGTTGTGTGATGTCTGAAGTCTGTTGCAAATCTGTCTGAGGTGTTTTATTTTTATTTTTATTTTTTGCAGAGCATAGCTGCCCTCCTGGTGGAGGGTAACTCTGAAGTGCATTTTTCCCTCCGCCTGAACCAATCCTCATGTAACCCCTCCTATCTCTATTAAGGTAGAGCGACTCAGGGTTGCGAATGACCACAGTCACCAATTCTTGTCATGTGTCTTGCCCATGTCTGATCTCTGAATTGTGTGTAATGAAACTCTAATTTCCCTCTGGGATTAATAAAGTATCTTTGAATTGAATTTGAATTGAATTGAATGTAATATAAAAAGAATAAACCAAGGAAGAGGTATTAAAGCAGCTTTTAACTTTTTAAATATTTTGTTCTGAACCTGATTATTTTTAACTTGTAAATAAAAGGCTGAAACTCAAGTTTTCAAAGAATAACAGAACTTCTGTCCAAATTCTGGCCATTAAATATCAGGAACAGAAAGGAGTTTGTTTTTACAGCCTGTCAGAGTCTTTAATAAGTCTTAATGAAGCTTGACTTGTGGCTAGCAGCTGATGATGATAAAACCTGACAGTCCCTCCATCTGTCTCACATTAAAGTTTCATTTACAGGATTCTTAAGATAAGCCTAAAGATTAAATCTGTGCAAACACACAAGAACTCTGATTTCCTTCAGGCTCTTCTGGTTAATTTGGTGATATCTTTCTCAATTCTCTCTATATGTGTCATGTTTCGGAATGAGTGACTTAGGCAGATACAGCACACTCGGACTCAGAAACAACTTTTTCTTAAAACAGTTTATTTTCTTCTGGATCAGAGGAATTGAGAGACCAAGAGGAAGCAAGGATTTGAGGAGGATCGTCACTGGAAAAGGTAGTTATTGTGAGTATGTGTAGAGACGAACTGAGAGTTCTTTAGCAGGATTAATTGGAACTGAAAACTCACTGGTGCTGCAGAGGAACCGGTCCTGAGGGAGAGGTGAGTATTCAGGATGGCAGAATCCAGTGCTGGAGCTTTTGCAGCATTGAAGACGTGGAGAAGAGAACTTGGATGTATGAACCAACGAGGAACTTCCTGGGTCTTTCAAAGACGCGGAAGAGATTGCTGCGAGGAACAGAGAGAATCACAGGTGAGTACTTGGCACGAAGGGAAGCACAGCTAAAGAGCATGTGGTCAGTTTACCACTCCATTTACGGAATCAGCTGACATCTGACTGGTGGCCACAATCCTCCCAAGTACTGCTGTCTTGATGAGGTAGTTGCCTTCAGCTGGGACCACTCAGCACCTGGGAAAAGAGAGGAACAGCTCCACCTGCTGGATCCTGACACTACCTCCCCCTCAACAGTCACCCCCAGGCGACCGACCCGAAGAGGAGGCAGACCTCCTCTCAAAGTCAGTAATGAGCTGAGGGTCCAGAATAAAGGACCCGGGAACCCATGATCACGCCTCTGGACCATAACCTGTCCAATCCACCAAATACTGGTGGCCTCGGCCTCGACGACGGATGTCCAGGATGTGGTTCAAGGAGAACACAGTCCTCCATCCACCATCCAAGGATGGATCTGGAGCAGTATTGGGCAATAGTGAAGGTAGGTAGCCCAATGAGGATTCAAAAGGGGATTTGCCAGTAGCTGCGTAAATATGGGCGTTATGAGCATATTTGATCCATGGTAGGAAAAGACTCCACTGACGAGGGTTAGAGGAGCAGTCACATCGAAGTGAGTCTTCAACCTCTTGGTTGAGCCGTTCACTCTGCCCATTGGATTCTGAGTGGAAACCTGAGGACGAGCAAGGTTTAGCCCCCAAAGAACGACAAAACTCCCTCCAAACTTGAGACGAGAACTGAGGATCTCTGTCTGACACTACTTCAAGAGGAATGCCATGAAGTCTGAAGACGTGAGAAAACAGGAGCTTGGTGGCCTGGGCTGCAGAAGGTAGCTTGGATAGGCAGGCTTTGGAGAACCTATCAATGGTGGTGAGTATGACTGTTTTACCCTTTGAAGGAGGAAGGCTTGTAACAAAGTCTTAAGTGATATGAGACCAGGGTCTTGAGGGTATAGACAAGGGCTGGAGGAGGCCAGAAGGAGGTCTGTGAGTATTTTTATTTCGGTTGCATGCGTGGCAGGCTGACACAAACTCCCTGACATCTTTATTTAATCCAGGCCACCAAAAGTATTGACGAATGTAGGCAACTGTTCTGCTGACCCCTGGGTGACAGGAAAACTTGACTGACTGACTTGCGACCTGACTGAGGAGGGAATACACCGTCTACCGGGCGGACCACCCCCAGGACTGGTCTCAAGCTGGGGGGCTGACTCGATCTTGTGTTCCAAGTCCCAGGAGAGGCTGCCGATTCTCCAGGTAGGTGGTGAGATGGATTCAGGAATCTCAGGCTCAGAGTCTGGAGAGAAATTACAAGAGAGGGCATCAGGTTTGACATTTTTAGAACCAGGTCTGTAGGTGATGTTGAGGTTAAATCTTGAGAAGAACAGGGACCAGCGGAATTGTCAGAGGTTGAGTTGCTTGAGTTGACAACCATCTAGAGCAGATACACTGAAAGCTTGAGTTAGAGGTTTTACAGGGATGGCAAGTTAATGGACTAGCTGAGGAGAGATGAGACATTGTTCTGAACCTGAGTCAATGAGAGCATGAATGGATGAACTCTGAGTCTTGATGATTATAGTTACAGGGATTAATAATCTGGGAGAAGTTGTGGATTTACCTGTCAGGACACCCAGTTTTACCGATGGGCTCTCTCTTTTGGGCGAATAGGGCAAGTGGCGATGAGTTGTCCCAGGGCTCCACAATATAGGCATGCACGGCTTGTCATACATTGCTGCCATTCAGCCGGAGATACCCAAGCATTTCCGATATGCATGGGTTCGGGCTCTTCACAGGGAGCACTAGCCCCTGGTATGGAACCTGGAATGAACTGAGGCATAGGAACCTGAGAGCGAGAGGGGGGAAAGTTTCTGGTTCGGGTAGCTCTCGCATGCGTGAGTCTATTTTTATGACCAGTTTAATCAAATCCTCCAAAAAATGTGGTTCATCAGGGGTAGTGAGCTCATCCTTTAACTTCTCGTTGAGGGACCGTGAGAATGCTACTTTCAGAGATGGGCGGTTCCTTCCAGATTTGGCTGCAATGGTGCGGAAGTCAATTGCTAATTCAGCGACTGATCTATTTCTTTGTTTTAAACTCCATAAACGTTTAGCAATTTCCTCTTCGCCGATCCTAGGGCAGAGGGTTAACTCAAACTGAGTACTGAATTCATGGAAAGTAACCGTAGCGAGATCTGTTTGGGAGAATCGGGCGTTTGCCCATTGTAAAGCGCGTTCTCTAAGCAGGGCGACCATATAGGAAATTTTGTTGGCGTCTGTTTGAAACTGAGTGGGTGATCTTTCGAAAGCCAGAGCACATTGTAGAAGGAATCGCTTACTTTTACTTAGGTCTCCTAAAAAAGTTCTGGAGGAGAGACTACTTCACGGAAAGCTGAAGGAGGTGGCTGCGTGGCGGAAGCGGTGGCAACGGAGCTGCTCTGAGTGGTGGATCCGGGTAGAATACTGGAGTCCGTTTAACAGGTGAGTTATTTGGCCAACGTTTTGTTGATAAGCCTGATTCTGACGAACTAAATCCTGTAATGACGTCTCGTGATGATCCAACATTACTCCTTGCGCAGTGAGAGCCAAGCGTAACTGTGCTGCAGAGTCAGAATGGTCAGCTGATTCTGTCATTTTTCGGAATGAGTGACTCTTAAGCAGACACAGCACACTCGGACTCAGAAACAACTTTTTCTTAAAACAGTTTATTTTCTTCTGGATCAGAGGAATCGAGAGACCAAGAGACAGACATCCAAACAGTGAAGACGTGGAGAAGAGAACTTGGATGTATGAACCAACGAGGAACTTCCTGGGTCTTTCAAAGACGCGGAAGAGATTGCTGCAAGGAACAGAGAGAATCACATGTGAGTACTTGGCACGACAGGAAGCACAGCTAGAGAGCATGTGGTCAGTGACCACTCCATTAACGGAATCAGCTGACGTCCGTCTGGTGGCTCCAATCCTCCTAAGCACTGCTGCCTTGATAAGGAAATTGGCTCCAGCTGGGACCACTCAGCACCTGGGAAAAGAGAGGAAGAGCTCCATCTGCTGGATCCTGACAATTTGGTACTTTTTCTAGCAGCGAAATCTTCTACCAATCTTTTAAAGTTTAGTTTTCCAGACTTTCTGCAGATCTTTCCGAATGTTTCTTCAGATTTGGCTCATCTGTCACTCAAATGTGAGGAAAAGCGTCAGAAAAGTTTTATCTGAACAGTGTTTTTAAAGAATGCGACTGCTTGTAGCTTCAAGTTCTGAGCAGCTGAACTTTAAAACCAAAAAATAAAACAGGAAAAATTCAAATCTGAATATGTTCTCTGTTTACAGCTTGCTGCTCCCTGATTGGCTGAGCTCTGACATCACTAAAATGGCTCACCTGTTCCTCGCCAGTAAGATCACCATGCCCGATGACCTCTATATAAAAGGAGGAGCCAGAATCCAGAGGAACACCCCCAGGATACCAACGTCCATCTCTGCAGAGAAGCTGGGTCGAGACAGGGCCAAGAAAGACCAAAGCGTTGTCATGACAACCTGTGTTCCACACATCAATGAGGTTCAGCTGACAGCAGCTACCGGAGGAGCTGAGATGTCCTGCAACCGCTGCACGGTTCCATTCGGCGTGGTTGTCCTCATTGCTGGCATTGTGGTGACGGGGGTGGCTTACACCTTTAACTCCCATGGTTCCACCATCTCGGTGCTAGGACTGGCACTGCTGTCTGTTGGACTGGGTCTGCTGGGGTCCAGCGCCATCTGCTGGAGGTTCCGACAGAAGAAAAAGAAGGACAAGAGGCGTGAGAGTCAGACTGCTCTCATGGTGAGTCAGGGATACAGCATAGCCTGAACGCACCAAAGAGGGAAACATCTCAATGACTGGACCTCCCTCATTTTCATCTCTTCGCTTCGTTAACCAGTTTGAGACAGAGACTGGACCAATAGGTTGCCAAAGTGGTTCTGACTTTTGTTTCAGCAAATCACTCTGCAGAAACCAGAACCTGGAAAAGCCTCCTCTGTGGAAGCAAACGATCCCAATTTTTTCTGAAGGCTGTCTGAACCAGAACTTCCACTCTGACCAGTTTCAATGTTCAATCCTTTTGCTTTAGGAGTAGTCCTAAAACAATCTACTGTGAGAACTTCAGTCATAATGGATGACTGACTGTTTATTAGAGGTGTGTGGTGAAGATGTTTGGAGGCTCCTCTGATTGGAGGACAGAAGCCCCATGATAGCAGATGGTGTCCACGCTGCAGAATGTTTTAACTCCACAGTTAAAGTTATTATTAATGATGTACAGTCCCTGTCCATAATAAGCTATAAAACAGTTGAAAGGTACTTTAGTAAAATACTTTCCTTGCTGAGACATGTTGTTTTCAGATTGTCTTGTTTGTGACCTCCGTTTGTTCCTCAGTGATTCTGTTAGTCTTTAATTTTTTGATGAACTTGAAGAAGAATAAGTTATCAGATTAATGACGGACAGCATGTCAGCTGAGAGGAATAAAACCTCATGATGTTTTAAGAGAAATAAGGAAACTGTGAGCAAACTTTTCTAAACAATAACAAGTAACAAATTCATTCAGTTGATGAAGTCATTGTGTGTTCATCTCTGTCCAGCTGAATCGTGAGTTCATTCATTCATCTCTCACATAAGTCCAAAACTGATTTAGTGAAACATATCTGTTTTACCTTCACTGGGCTGTTTCCTTCAGTTCTTTTGCCTGTGTCAGTTTCAGTGCAGAGAAATCAACATCAAATCTCCTTCACTAGTTTTCTTCCTCATCAGTGGCCTAGAGGTATGAATGACTGCCCTGAGAGGAGATCGGGGTTCAAATCCCGGTCTGGTCATACCAAAGACTTTAAAATTGGGACCTAATGCCTCCCCACTGACACTCAGCTTTAAGGGGTTGGATTGGAGGATAAACCACCAAATAGATCCTGAGCGCAGCCACCACTCCCAACGGGAATGGGTCAAATGTGGAGTTGAATTTCACCAGTGTGTGATGACTAACAAGACTTTAACTTTTCCTTTATCTTTGCGTGCCCATTAAACCAAAACGGCAACAGCTTTAAGAACATTTAACTTTGTTAAATATTAAGATGTTCATGAGGTTAATCATTTATTCACATAAAAAGGTAAATGGCCTGTATTTGTGTAGCGCCTTCTTAGGGTTCTACAACCCCCCAAGGTGCTTTACAACACAATCAGTCATTCATCCATTCACACCCTGGTGATGATGAGCTATAATGTAGCCACAGCTGCCCTGGGGCACACTGATGAAGGCAAGGCTGCCAAACACAGGCGCCACCGGTCCCTCCGACCACCACTAGCAGGAAAGGTGAGTTAAGTGTCTTGCTCAAGGACACAACAGTAGCGTTCTCTGGCGGGAGCTGGGATTGAACCTACAGCCTTCTGATTACTGAACAACCTCCTGAGCTACAGGTCACTGTTGCGCCTCTGCATTCGGTCATGAAATAAGTCATTAATGAATCCTAAACCAACTGAAGCAATTGGTGGTGTGACAGAGTGGCAGATTTGTCCGACATTTCCTGGAAAGGACTCGGTGAATCGGCAGCATGAAAGCAGATCAACAGGTCAACAGGAAGGACTTTCTGCAAGAACACTGCAGTGACTCCCCTACAGACTGGGTGGAGTGACAGATGAAGAGAGAAGGAAAGCCACTGATCTTTTTTAGATTTTGTTACTTTAAAACCAAGAATCACAAGCTTCTGTTGTTCGTCCAACAGGTCAGAGACACGATCCAAATGCAGTCAACAAATCTGTAGTGAATAAAGTCTGAAAATCTGGTTTTATTTGGAGTTTTCTGGAACTACAAATAAGGATCTGGAGGATAGAGTGTATTTTTCTAGCATTTCACAGAAATCACAAGGAGCGTCTTAATAACATGCAAGTAAACATGAAAATGGTTTCAAATAAATATAAAAAACAAACATTAGTTCTTAATCGTTGAGGAATTGTCTGGGAGCTTAATTACAGCAACCATAACAGAAAATCAGACAGGAGAGGCAATAACCTAGAAATTCCATCCATAACCTTAAACTCATGTACTGCATATGAAGGTAAGCTAGGTTGGAACGTCATTAAAAGTCATATGTGGACAAAAATACGATGCTTTGGGGCAACTTGTGCTTGCAGTAGCATCGTTATGATAAGACAGCTGCAGCAGCAGATGACACTAGTGATGTGAAGATGTGGACGATACACGATGCTGCCGAATCTCTGCCGGATCCATAATGAGGAAAGAAGTGGGAGAAGTTGTCAGTCTGAGTGACCTCAGAGGCCCAGCAGCAGAGCTAAAACGTTCACAGGTAGAAACAGATTCAATTCAAACTTCTGACTTTTTACTCTTTAATTTCTAGAGCAATGAATACTGTTTGTGGATCGTTTAATCTCAGAATATAACATTAAATTCAAGTTTCTGCTCAAAGAAACAAATAAAACTTTTAAAACGAACGTCTTCAGCATCTCCTGTTCAAATGTTTGTTTCTTGTTGTTTGAAGATAAAAACTAAATAGAGAAAAAATAAGATTATAGATTTTACACCTTCTATATTGCTAAAGAGCGCACTGTTATTTCACATATTTATGGCTGAATCCAGATTTCTGAGCTCTAAGTGAGAAACCTTTAAAAAAACTGAAGTGTTTTTTCTTTTATTATTTTTTTTTTCATTTAAATTTTATTAAACATTTAGCAGTCATGTTACATGTCATGTTTTCCAAATACATCACCAAGTTTCTGCTTGAATGAGCATTTTCTGTGAGTCAGTATTTAAAACGGGAAAGAAAAAGTAAACATAAAAATACATAGTAATATTTGTAATTAAAACACAAATAAACCTGAAAGACATCTGTTACTTGGGGGTGAGGATGATTATAATCTATGCAATATCCAGTTAACATTACAGGTTAAGCAAGTTAAGTTCTGGTCTTTGTGGTGCTAAGTAGTCTTACTATTTCCTCCATTGGGAGGCAAATAAGTCTTTCTTATAGTTCAGTTCTGCCCCTAACTTCTCCATTCTGTCTATGTCCATAACGATATCCGTCCATTGGGTCGACGTTGGGCTCTCCTGGGTAAGCCACTTTTTCGTGAGTGCATTTTTGCTTGTCACCATTAAAATACCGAACAAATGTTTATCTCTTTTAGTCCATCCTTCAGGCATGAGTCCAAAGAAGAAAACTTTACTTTCCAGGCGCAGATGACACCCGAAAATGTATTGTGTTGCTTTATGTATTTCACTCCAAAAAGTCTTAATACTCCAACAATCCCAGAATATATGGTAGTGATTTGCATTCATACTTCCACAATTTCGCCAACAAACCGGAGAGTTACCTTTGTAATGGGATTTTTGACATGGTGTAATAAAATATCTTATCAGGCTCTTCCAGCCAAATTCCCTCCAACTATCTGAATTGCTACACTTCACTGGTATTTCCAGATTGATTCCCATTCTTCCTCTGACAAATTTATTCCTCCTTCTTGTTCCCATTTTGCTTTAACGTATAGAGTTGAGTGTTTCTTTTTGTTAATAAGTCCCTTATATATCGCTGATACCATACACCTACCTCTATTTTCATCATAAGCCTTTTTAAAAACCTCCAATAATTGTTAACTAGATTCTGCCACATTTTTTAACTTGTCACCAATAAAATGTCTCACCTGTAAATACTGGTAAAAGTCTTGCACTTCTAAAGCATATTCCTCTTTAATTTGTTCAAAACTGAGGAGGGTGTCATTTTTCATTATTTTACATAAGGCAATTATACCTTTATCTGCCCAATTTTTGAACCTCATATCTAATTTGTTTGGAGTAAACTGTGTGTCATATGCACACCATTTAATTACCACTATATCTTCTTCCAATTTATATCCCATTATTAGTGTTCTCCAAATTTTAAGTGTTAATTTAATCCAAGGATTTTCTATATTTTTTTATCCGTTCTTGAATATTGTTATCTGGGATAAGTGATTGTATAGGGATAGGTGAAAGTTCCATTTCTATGTCTTTCCATTGTGCGTTGCAGGAGGGATTGCACCAGCAAATCACAGGTCTCAGTTGTGCTGCTCTGTAATAGTCTTCAAGAGATGGGAGGCCCCATCCTCCCTTTGCTTTTGTCAATTGGAGAGTTTTAAATTGGATTCAAGGTCTCTTTTCTTGCCATATATACCTGGACAGCATCTTGTCCAATTCATTAAATACCTTTTGATCTGATTCTACTGGTAATGTTTGGAATAGGTATAGTAGTTTTGGCAAGATATTAATTTTAATTGAATCTATTCTTGAATTAAGACTTAAGTATGGAATTAAATGCCATCTTTCTAAATCCTCCTTAATTTTCTTTTGTATCGGCAAATACACTCAACAAAAATACAAATGCAACACCTTTGTTTCTGCTCCGATTTTTCATGAGATGGACTTAAGGATCTAAAATGCATTCCAGATACACAGTATTAACATTTCTCTCAAACATTGTTCACAAATCAGTCTAAATGTGTGATAGTGAGCAACTGTGCTTTGCTGAGATAATCCATCCCACCTCACAGGTGTGCCACATCAAGATGCTGATCTGACATCATGAGTAGTGCACAGGTGTACCTTATACTGCCCACAATAAAAGGCCACCCTGGAATGTGCAGTTTTTTCTAACAGCAAAGTGCCGCAGATACCTCAAGTACAGTAACTTTGTGTTTTGTGATTTCCCAGATGATGTGTCTAGTTTTGGTTGTAAATGTATGTTTAAGTCTCCTCCACAAATTAGAATGCCTACTCTCTCTGTTACCATCATGTTAATTATCTTCTGGTAAAAATTAATATCACTTCTAGGCGGCACGTATATGTTTAAAAATGTTATTGGTTGTCCCTCAATGTTTCCTCTTACTAAAACAACATACCGACCATCTTTATCATTTATCTCTGCTACTTTGTCAAACTGTAATTTATTTGACGTAAGAATTGCGACTCCCCTTCTTCACCCAACTTTATAAGAGGAGGAAAATACACTTACGAATCCCATTCTTTTTAAGTTTTCGTGTTCTTTAAGGTTTAGGTGGGTTTCCTGTAAATATATTATTTGTGCTTTTTCTTTTTTCATCTTAGTTAGTACCTTATTTCATTTTATAGGATTTAGCATGCCATTTACAGTATATGAGATAATCTTTATTTTGCCACTAGCCATAGTTTGTTTGTTTAGGTGATTTTGACATAGCAAAACCTGTAGTGTCTACACTCCCCCAAAAATACAGTAACAACCGTCATTTGAACATTGTAGCTGTATAAAGCGACAGCTACAAAAACCACATAAAACTCTTTGAACAACTGTAAAGAATCACATACACTGATAAAAGTTATGCTGACTTCCATCTGTGAGGCCTACATTTGGTCCTGAGCGAGCCCCGTTGGAGGGGGGGCTTTGAGGGTAAGCCCCTTGCACCCTTAGGTGCGGGAGGGGGGGAGCATCTGCTGCCCAACCATTGTCCATTTTACAGCATAGGAAGAGCCCGACTATTTAAATTGACATTATTGGCCTATTAACTTATTTGTAAAACAAATAATAACCTTTAAATTTACCTCAACATTGTCATTTCATCAGAGACGGTGGCTTCTCATTTCTGTTCCTGGCGTCTGAATTCTTGGAGTTTCTCTTTGAAGTCCCGGTTGAGGTCCTTGTTCTTTCTCGCCATGCTCCACGCTCTGTTTCGGATCTGCTCCAAGACGGTCTCCGGGTTCCTGACGACTGCATCCGGGAATCCCCTCTTTGCCAGGTCGCTGGTGGCCTCCTCGCAAGAGCCGTATAGCACCAGTCCCTCCGAATAGAATATCCGCAGTCGTGCTGGGAATGGGGTTTGGAATCGAATTTTTTTCTCTATTAGTATTCCTTCCGTTGTTCCAAGACCTCAGGTGCGTAGTTGTGGTCTAGGTTAACTTTGTTCCCCATATATTCCAATCCGTGTTTTTGCCATGCTATTTTTATTATTTCGGCTTTTATTCCGTAGCTAGCCACCTTGGGGACTATGGATCTAGGTGCTGCGCTTGGTGGTGGCTTTTTCACCGTAGCCCGCTGTGCTCTCTCGATCTTTATTTCACTCGTCTCCGGTATCTCCAGTTTCTGTCTTAGCAAGCGCTCTAGGAACACAGCCATAGATGGTGCGTCATTTTCTGATCCCTCTTTGATTCCGTTTACTCTAATATTTTCTCTTCTAGACTGTCCCTCTAGATCAGTTAATTTTGCTTTCATTTCAACGTGCAGTTTGAGCATCTCTGTTACTGCTTCTTCGTTGTTTTGTATTCAGGTTTTGGCGTCATTTATCCTTTCCTCCGTTTCTTCCATTCTCTTGTTTGTCTTATTTACATCTTCCCGGATTGCTTTTAGCTGCACATCGTTATCTTTCCTGAATTCTCTCAATTCTCTGAATATGAGGTCTAGGCTAGCGTTGTTAGCTCGTTCTCCTTCCTCTGCTAGCATGTCGTCCTCCATGTTGCTGCTAGCCAGTGAGATCTGGTCATCGCCGTCCCACTCCTGTAGCTCGTTCTGGGTGAGTTTCTTCTTTATTTTGTTTTTAGGCATCTCAGCGCCCCTCTTTCTCATTTGTTTAACTCAGGTCGTAGTAAATGCGGGTTACTCTGGGCTGTTTTTTTTCTCTTATGTCGGGAACCTCTTCTGCTGTGCTGCCATCCTCCTTCGCGTCGACCCGGAAGTCCCTCAAGAGTGCTTTCATCGTAAAATCTTATTTATTTTCTTACTGAGTGAATTCTGATACATTTGTGCTTATTTTAATAACATAAAATATTTATTAAAGAGGTTAAAATGAACCAGAAAACTAGTAGATACAAACCAGCTCATCACTGAATGTTCATTCATTGGTGTCAGTCTAATTTTTGTGCCCATGAACTGTAGATCACCTGTGGTCTGGTCCAGATGTGTCTCACATCTGTCTGCACTCTCCAAATCCTCCGTAACACAACTGAGGATGGAGTGGTGGGAAATGATTCAAAGCTGCTTTCTGCCTCTAAAGGACCAGACGGCCAACAATGGCCCGGGGGCCCCAAACGGACCCATTAACCAGGGAGCGGCACTTCCCCTCTTCCATCAAAAATTCCTTCTCCCTCCATCTACTTGTCTCGGTGTGTGATTCTCTAAGTTTTTGCTGTGCTGAAAGATTCAGAGACGTGTTGGGGTCATTGTTCTCAGAGTTCACTGTGACAGATGAGAGGGGAGCTCTCAGCTGAGCTGCCTCAGTGCAGGAAGCTGACATTGTGTTGGAACAGAATGGCTGCTCGCTTTGATTCCCATTCTTGGCCGCTGTCGTCGCCCCACTCAGACACCCAGGCGGGTCTGAAAAGGTCCAGATAAGACACACGAAAGATCTGAGGGCAGTTTCTGAGTAAAGCTGATCAGACGCAGATAAGCATCTCCAACCAGGACGAGATCTGATAGGACATCTCAGCTGAGCTGGGTGAATAAACAGGATCAGATTTAGATTATTAGAGCATCATCAGTTTATAGTTCATGGTTTTAGGTAGATCAACAGATGAGTTGGTTCTGGTGTTGTGGATCTTCTTCAGACCTGAATAAAAACTCAATTTAGTCACATTTTCATTTTATAC